TCCCTGCAGTGAATATGGCGACGTTTCTTGCCTGCACGGGATTTCAAAAGTAGGTGTAGATTTTGCCAAGGTGCTTATGTTGTGCCTCCTAGTGTTGTTTATTATTTGTTTACGTCTAGTATGTTGCACTTGCGGTTGAAGATTAGTTCCGAAACTTGAGCGAATTTTGAAGGCAGCAACTCAGTGTGTCTAGGGAGAAAATTGAAGCGTTAGAGAGAAGGCATCCAAAACAAATGGTGTTCGGCATTAAAAAGGATTTTTAAAAGAAAACCAATCGTTTTGATCGAGGATAGGTCAAACCTCTTCATTAATAGCTGTTTATTTTCTCAACTATTTGCGAAGGTTATTATAAGTTGGCTTCGTTAATAATTAATTCCCCGTCAGCATGATGAGGCAACCACTCAACTAGGTTCCAATTACTGGATTTCTAAATCAATGTCATCTTGGTTTTCTTGTTTAGGAAGGATTCTTTGAGTACGACAATTCAAATCTTATGTAAGTCCTCGGGTCACAGGGCAACAAATAAATCTCTTGATAACTATTAACAGGATCAAACACTCACATGATCCTTTCATCAATTCTTCTGTTTCCATCTGCTTTCATTCTCCAAATATTTTCCACATAATCATATGATAGCACATACTTTTTAGTATTTTTGAGCTATTTATGATTATTTCAGACAGGCATATTTCGTATTTTTAGTATTTTTGAGCTATTTATGATTATTTCAGACAGGCATATTTCGCTAAATAAACCTCACAAATTACAATTTTTCTTCAGTTCCGACGTTAAGCTGATTAATAGATATAGAATTCTGTCTTTGCTATCTTGTCACGTCAAATCCGTCGCTGTTTCTTGTCCGGCTTTCATCGCTGCAAGGACTCTGAACCGAGAGTTATGAATCAGTCAAGTCCTTTGTATTCCAGAGCAAGACACATTGTTCTTACCGTGCCTCTCCTCTCCTACGACTAAACTAAGATAGGTATTGGCAAACTGTTATGGCAACCTGACAAAATGCTGCGTAGCGGGGGTAGGGGGAGGGGAGAGGGGGTACCGCGATGCAATATATAACAAGCCACTATCTCATTTACGAGAAGTACTGAACACAATTCTTTGTCGCTTGATGTGCTAATTCATGCTAAGATTCGACGAGTCAAGATAAAACATTCAGATCCATGCGTGTTTCTTCTTAAAACGGATGATGTGGAATAAAAGGGAACCTCAAAGTTATTTCGTGAGGACTGGAAAACAATTTTAGGTGTTCCATGCAAAATCAGCTCAGTCACGATTACAGTTGTTAAAGCCTAACAAGCCTCCAACACGAAATATTAGAACAATATTCTGAATTATTTTCTTCATTGGTGCAACCATTCGAAAGGTTTTGGTCGTCAAAATCACTGCTGTAAAGTTATGTATGTTTTTGAAGACTACAAGAAATCAACGATATTTATACGATATTTAAAGCATGACTTGAATACAGTTATTCGATACTGTGTTGAAACTCAAACAATTGGCTCCTTGTCAGACGATGTTTGTTATTTTAAACTGAAATTTTTGTCAAGGAATCTGCGAGTTCATCAAGCTGGCAAATTTTTGTCGGCTGTTGACAATAAACAACAATTCGTATTTCAAGGTCCAAGCAATTTGGGTTCATCCGTAGACTTTTGTTTGTTATCGTTTGTTTAGTAAGTGCATAGCATGATAAATGAGACCAAGTGAAACACGATAACAATTTGAAAACTAAGAGAAACTTTTTTCCTTCACATAAGTTCACATCAGTTAACCCTTTTACCCATATAAGTGACTAACACCTCATTTCTCCTTACAGTATCGACCCTGAATCAAACATTGAGGTTATAAGAATACAGGAAATGACCATCCAATGAAGAATTTCATGATTGTTTAACAAATTCTCCTTTTCAGTGCCATAGGGAATGTATAGTTAATAGTATGGAGAATATGCATACTGATGTTAAGGTGTAAAGGGTTAACAAATTTTGCTTCTTGATTGACAGTAGATCTCACGTCAACCACAATGTAATTAAACAAAAACTTATACAAACTTCAGTTTACTAAAAAAATCAGAAACATTTTTAACGCAGCAAATTGATTTTAAAACTTCACTACGTCAGCTTTTTAAAAAGAAACATATTCTAGCTATAGGACAACCCCAAAGCATTTAGCCTACGTGTAGCCGTACCCTTCCCCCAGGTGAAATGGAAGCTTCCGTTTCACCTGGGGGGAAGGGGGAGGGACAGCGACACGTAGGCTGCAAAACATTTAACATTTAATCCCTGCTTGAGTTACGCGCTCAAGATTACTCAATCTTTATAGGCTCAAGGTATTGCGTTTGACTGAATTGCGTCAAAACCTCGTATAATGGCATTTAGCCGTCTACGCCTCCTTGTAGGCAGCAATTATATCAAAGTAACTAAACTAACAAGTCTCTTAGACGAGTGACAGTCACACACTAGCCCCATTAAAACAGCAATCTGCTGATATGGAAGTTTTCGTGTCATGGTGACCTCTCGTGATCGACATGCATCGGGCAGCTGAGTTGAAGCTTTAACCTCACGCTTTAAAACAGAGACTTTTTTTGCCTGAAGCTTTGAAATTTACGTTCAAAGTTCAAAAGCATTTTCTCCGCCTCCCAGAAGACAAGTTGTACCGGCGTGAGACAGATATCAGTTTTTTTCCAAAGGCCCCAACTGCCTGCTGATGGCTGTAATTCTATCTTGTGTAGGAGTTCGGAAGTAAGTGTTATGTTTTGTTTTAGCTTTTATCCCGGTCGTATAACGAAGATATACAAAAATTTATATTTTGAATGATTCTTTTTATTGATATCAGTAAGTTCACACAGTTTCCACTCACTGAGAGTTAATTTCAGACGAATATGGTGTTAACACTCAAATAGTGCTTTATTGGGCTATTTGATTCAACCTGAAATATTTCGTACAGACAGCGTTCAGTAGTCTGATTCCGGTGGTAAAAATTCATCTCAGAAGCCTTTAGCCGGTTTTCTTTTTTTAAATCTATTCTCTCTTCTCTATTTGGATCAATTGTTTGTCGTCAGTTAATGCTGCTTTATTTAACTTTGAACTTACCGACGGATTTTTCAAATCTGACAATCACTCATGACAGAGCAGAGTCGTATCAGAGATCACCGTGTAGAAAAATAAGAAAAAAAAGACAGAAATTTGTTTTTGATTTGGGAAAAAGTAAGATGGAACTACGACTGAAAACGGTGAATATAGTTTTTTCTTGAGCCAAGGAGAAAAAGTTTAACACAATTTCAAATGGAATAATGAAGAGCTGAAAGATTGGATTGTCGTAAGTTGTTCTCTGAAGTACTTTGTTATTAGTAGTTTTTTTTACGCAGTTCGTACCAATTAAGTGCTAAAGGTCAAAAGACGCCAACATACGGAAAACAGAAAAATTTGGGCGAAACTGACTTTTTTATGCGGAACCGTACTTGAGAATTCACAAATTCCGAAATGATCTGATTGTATCTTCCCCGAGTCTCGATGAAATTTTACAGACAGCGTAACGAGAGCTTTCAGTTTCGTTTCCGAGCTGTATGACTGGCGGGATTCCTCCCGTGACGGGATAGTGGTTTCGATGGTAGTTTCAAATCAATTTATCCTCTCGGTTCCTTGGGGTTTTCTTTTGATATTTTCTTTTCAATGGAATCTGTCGTTGGCGTCAAAATCCTGATTTCAAAATGCCAGCACAATTTATGAAGGGATAATCTCCTACCCTCAACGAAATACAGAGAGCGGAAAAAAAGAAACACCGCCCTTTTGACGTAAAGGCCGTTTATCCTTTCCTGATATTCATTAGTCTAGCCAGTGGTTTAGGGGGAAATTTGCCTCTTTCTGCTTAGTAATGGTACATGCCCTTTCACAGCAATGTCAGTTTTCCAACCCTAACTTACCGGTTACACAAAACAACATTACCAAAATTACGCAGTCGCGTTAATCAAAAGTTCATTAGCGAAGCACGCGAGGGACTGTTCTTTATATTCCGTGACAAATTGAAGATAACGAGGTTGAGAGAACGTGAGACTGAATGCACTGTCGAAAATTGAGGAAATAACATCATGTTAAAGACGTTTTGATGACATCATTCTTACGATCGTGATCTTTTTACCTGTCAACACTTTCAAGTTCGAAGTTCAGCGAAGTTTAAAGCTCCATATCAAGTGGATAATTCTAAAGTTCAAAATTCACAAAGAGACCATCAGCGCAAAACTGTCAATATTTACGTATGATGCACCTATAATATTTTTTCATGCTACAGCTCTCATATCAGCTCATTTCACTGAGCAGAGTAAGAATGGAACTCCACTGCTGATGAATTGGTCGAACAGGCACGGATTTATCCAAGCTTTGTTCCATATCATGGATATTTCAGAAATCATTTCTATTCTTGAATTCTGCTCAAAAACCCCATGTTTGGTGGACTGGACGATCAAGACTTTAATCAGAAAAAAAAATTTCGTTAGTCACCTCAACGCCATCTAAAACGGTCTGCAAAATTTTCCTTGTATTCCACGAGGCGTCAGTTCTATATGTCGGAGATTCACTCTATTTTCAATAACATCGCTGTACTTTCAATTGATTGTTTAGTTTTAATGGTCTACTAGTTCTTCAACGTTTTCATAGCTTTTAATTTTTGACCTTTGGGTAGTTCATATTTCGGTCACCTATTTCTCACAAAAGCGCGTTCGCTACATCAAGAGAAAATAAAGGTCTTTTTAATTTCTCGTCATAGACATTCTGATACAAAAAAACTGGAAAATTTAAATATTGGAACAGTCTGCTGAGGATGAGAGGTGACAGAACTTAAATAAGGAACAAGCTTGAGGGCGGTTTAGAAAAAAGTTGATCGACTCGATTTAAACAAAAATTAAATTTCTAAGTTAAAATATTACAGATGCTCAAGCCGTTTTGATGCTCTTAAAAGCTAAAACGACTGAGCATCACTCCGTGAAAAATCTTAAGTTAATTTTTTTTTGTCTATATCTCCTTTTATCAAGGTTAAAACCGCAAGAAACAGTATTTCTATCACGTCGGAGTCGGAGAGTGTCCGACCATCTGGAAGATGAAAGAGATTCATCAGAGCCGCAATGGCTGTTCCCAGATAACATCTGGCTTTGCATATTTTCCTATCTGTCACTGCAAGAAAGAACTCAAGCTTCTTACGTTTGTCAACGATGGAACAATCTTTGTAAGGACTCTTTATTCTGGCGCGAAGTGGACTTTAAATTTTGCGGGGCTGCTCAGCCAATAACGAACGAGACAGTAAAAGCTGTAACTTCATATTCAACGGGGATCCAAAGCATTGACCTGTCAGGTGACCATTGTAAGCCAATCACTGACGAGGCCATTGGTCACGTGGCACGTTCCTGTCCGCGCTTGCAGAGACTGAACATAGCTGGGCGAACAAAGGTTTCTAACCGAGGGCTCACTGTAATCGCGAGGAATTGTCCCCTCTTGAAAGAGCTGGACGTAGAAAAATGCCAAGAGATCAGCAACAACGGAATCAAATCAATTGCCAGTCGGTGCCGTGAACTAAAAAGTCTCTCGGTGGCGAGATGTCACAAAATTACCGATAAAGGGATATGTTTTGTGGCACAGGAATGTAATAATTTACAACGTCTTAGCATCGCAGGTTGCAGCAGAATCACGGATAAAAGTTTGACAACTCTCGGAAAACACTGTGACTTGTTACGAGACATTAACCTTAAAGACATTCAAAGCATTACTTCTTATGGCATTGAGAGACTGGTCAGCGGCAACCCGAATTTGACGCATGTGCATTTGGGGATTGTACAGGACACTAAAATCACTTTGGCGACTTTGCAGATTATTGTCAAGCATTGTGAAAAATTGGAGTTTCTGAGTTTTCAGCATTTTCATCGGGCTGGCGTTGTGACCGGAGGGGTACGAAAAGTAAACAAGAAAAAACTTGGCGCTTTCATCAACAACCTCAACGCCTGTGTAGTTTCAAACAATAACCGATAATTCAACAAAATGAACAACACAATTCTTGATGTGCCAAAGTCCGGTTTTAACGGACGGAAAGGCTATATTTTCAGTCCAACGAAGACGAATCAATATCGCTGATCAGAATGATCGAATGGATTCGAATAGTCACTGTCGATTACGATGGAAAAGTTGGCTTACACACACTTTTAAGTACAAATTTATATTTCTTTCTGTTCCAAGAATGCATAAGAAACGGTCCGTTTGTCATTAGCTAATGGCTTTCTTCGGTTTTGCTTTCAAGCACGAAGTCCAGAGTGACGAGGCTTTCAGTTCGTGTGTCCTTTCTAAAAAGTGTGAGGAAACAATCGAAGTGTTCATAGAGAGATAACTTTTAATACTTCTTTTTCTGATTTGGGAAGATCCATTTTTAGATTTTCTTTTGGTAGTATTTTACGCACTGTCAAAAAGTAAAAGTTAATGTATAACTAAACTTTTTTTACTCTAATTATCAAATTGATCATGTCAACCTCCACATTATTCATATTATTGTGAAAAGAGTTCATTTATGAATTATTAAAATGTTGAGTAGATTTACATAAAGCAAAACTCTTTCCAGGTGAATTCGCTTTGGTTTTTTTGAGTAACAAGGGCAAGCTGTAATGTTCAAAGGGGAAGGGCATAGTTATTAATTTCCGCGCGCCTTATTCTAAGTGACTTACCCCACTGTTTCACCTCGTGTATCAGCGGGTCCGTATTCGATGATGAGAAAGAACTAAAAATCTGACACTTGAAAAGATTAACGCGTTAAATTTGTGTTACTGACTTTAAAAAAATTCATCTCACAGAGATGGGGGGTCAGTGACAACCTAACAGCCCTCTTACCCTTGTTACGCCCCTGTGAAAGATTAATGAGTTTTCTCTTCTTTCACAACAAGTTTGTCTAAGAAAGGTTGCCTGTCTTGCGCTCTACCTTCTCGCCTTTCAGAAACCAAATTAATGTCTTAGACCAAGGAAATAAAAAAAAACCCCAAAAAAGCCTCAGTGAAGGGGATTGGAGGATTAGTATAGGGGATCACATAGGGAACGAAGGGGGGGACCAGTGGCGGATCATTCGTCGTCAACAGAGTTTAAAGGGGGTAAACTATAGAAAATTTACTGCCAGGGAGGGGTGGGTCATAAGAATATTATAGAGACTTATGAGGGAATAAGGTTAGTTTTAACGTGAACAACCAAATTGCTCTAACACCCCCCTCCCCTCCCCCAGGCAATAAATAATGACCGGTCCCAAAAAAGTAACATAATTTTATTATGAAAACCTGCCGTTAATTATCGTATTAAAGCTAAAAATATACGCCCTAATTAAAAAATATTGTTTACTTGTTTATAAAATTCGGTTCAAAGTCGATTAAAAATGAAGGAGGGCTTTTAAAGCGTGAAAAAAAGATTCTTACGCATTTTCCACTCTGAGAAAGATGCCATTTCTTGGCGATAGCATAACCCCTGTATGTAAGGCCAGTGGAACTTGTGTTTCTGGTGACTGAACGAACTTGTATTTCATCAATACTTTCGCTAATGCGATCTTTATTTCCATCAAGGCGAACCTCATCGCGATGCAGTTTCGAGGACCTGCTCCAAAAGGCAAAAACTGGTACGAGTGACGAGTGCCTTCGTTTTTCTCTCGGAATCTGTCCGGATTAAACTTTTCGGGATTCGGCCAAGCTTCGGGATCATGATGAATTGCGAACGTTGGAATTATCACTTCCATTCCTGCTGGGATGTGAATACCTTCAATGTCATGATCTTCATGGCAGGAGCGATTCATTTGAAATATAGGCGGGCATAGTCGGAGAGATTCGTTCACGACGCAATCAAGGTAATCGATGTCTTGGGCGATATCGAAGATTGACGCCTTTGGATTTGACTTTTGTGCCTCTCGAATTTCTTTTCTTAACTCATTTTGGACTTGAGGATTCGTTGCCAGGAAGTAAGTGATAAAGGCCATGGAGTTGCTTGTGTTTTTGTAGCCGACTAACAAAAAGAAAACCGACTGAGCAACAAGTTCGTCCTCAGAAAGTTTACTGGCCTCGTCAGCTGCCTCGTTGGCGGTCAACATCAACTGTAAAAGGTCAACTCTTCCGTTTGTTCCCACTTCAAGGCGCCTCTTTATAATGTCCTTTGCCAGGTCCTCAAAGTATTCACCTTTTACTCCTTTTAAGTGATTTATGAAACGAAGTAGGTAACTTCCAAATGGAAGGCGATGAAGAACACGTAAGGATGAGGGGGCGCCAAAAATCTCTCGCGCTTTGCGCAAAATCTCGCTGTTTGGGTCTGTTTGGATCGCCGCATCCACGCCAAACGCGGTGGACAGGATGAGCTCGAGAGTAAGCTTGCTAAACCAGTGGACACATCCACACTGTCACCTGAAGTGAAGACCATATCATTATAAAAAATAAGAGAGATTTAAACTATGAGCTCGTTGTCGTCGAATAAAAAGATATGTTCTATTGGTCGGGAGCGTAGGTCAGAGTCCTCCGTTAGGTTTCGAACCTTAGAACGTCAAATTTCGCGGGGTACGCGATTCCGACTTAGCCTCAGAGAGCACGCCAAGGTACTAGGCTGTGAATTAAAGCAATTTCTTATCGAGTGTGGAAGATAATCCAGGATTACTTTGCTGTTAACTTTATTCGCTATGTGATTGGCCCAGAAAATTCATGCCATCCTTTTAACTAATAAGATTCTTAACAAAATATCAAACGCGACTGGGTCACTTGCGTTTTCCCGCGCTTTAGGCAGCTTACTTATTTTTATTTTGGGTTCTCATTGGTTCTTTGTGATATTTCTTTGTTCTGATTGGTTGTTGTAATTACTATGGTTTTGAAATCATAACATTTCATCTTTCAACTGCACTCTGTTTTCAAAAGAGTAAAAAGTAGAAAGAGTAATTCTGATTCTCGTAAGGGGGTTCACTCGTTTTCTTTACTTTGCCCCTTAAAACATCAGTTTCGGAGCCTCATCCCCGTTTTACGGTCAATCTGCTGCTCCGAGATGTTGCCGGTCATATTTGTTAGAAATCAACTGATCCAGCGAAAACCCTTTCAGGTATCCGTCTTGACAATTTGCAAGTGTAAATTTGTAGTTTGCTTTCATTTATACTCCTAGGTAAATAAACTTCATTATGGAGATATATAATAGTTCACAAGGCAATCAGGGGACAATCAGACATGGTTTGAGGCTATACTGATGTAAAGATTTAATGAATGTAACTGAGTAGTTACAATTCATGGACCCAACGTTTCAACACTCCTGTCTAGTGCCCTCATCACACCCCTGATGAACGCAGTGTTGCAACATTGGGTTAATAAATTGTAACTTCTCGGTTACATTCATGAAATCTTTAAACCAGAGTAACATCAAACCACGTTTCATTGCACAGAATTCCCGGTTTTGGATGCACTGGGACCGATCCGGAATCTGACATACTAAGTGTTGGGCCATCGTGTGTCCGGCCCAAACAGAGGTTACAGATTACAGAGTCCACTAAGCATCTTGGTCCAATCTAAGGAGTAGCATAAAAGGAGATGGGGAAGGAGGGGTCTTTGGGTGCATATTCTCCACTCTTTGTCAATAAATTAGTGGTTTCGAGAAAATTTGGCCGACGCAAATAATTATCCACCAGATATCCTTCTAACCTACTAGAAGCTTGGATGTTTCTTAAAAGCTAAAGTACAATCAGTGATCTCTCACCAGTAGCAGCAATTCTTTCAAGTTTCTCCATTAGCACGTCGCATGACTTCTCGATCAGTGGCACCATCAGCTTCATTTTTCCCGCACTGAACGTAGGCGTCAACATGTTGCGGATTTTTTTCCAATATTCGTCACGTGCAGCAAATATGCTTCTACTAAATCGAGCCGGTTGTTTCCCAGGAATGTGATGATTTCGAAAATTGGAAAAATCCTTCACAAGGATCTGTTTTAGTACTTCAGGGTCTGCAACGACGAGGGAAGGTTTC